ATCTTTGTATTCCTCGAGAATTGTTGAGGCATCCATTCAGATATTTATTATTTCTTATATCAGCTACCGTCTAGATAGATAATTAAATAAAAAATAATGAATATATGAAGTACTACAGACTCTTGGCGAAGTATATTAACAGCTAGTTAGTTCTCCGTTATCGCACACACGAAACTATGATCGCTTTGTTTATTAACATATTCGATATAAGATTTGAAAGTTGAGAGACAAAGTGATGCGAATACAGAGAATATAGATTCCATAATATAAACATTTCCTCCACAACAAAGCTATTTGATTTGATTTATAGATACATTTTAAATATTCTGTTGATCTTTGTATTATAGACACTGATCAGTATTGTTTTGAGGAACAAAAGAAATAAATGAGTTTATTTTCGAAATAATGGCTGCATTCAGCAGATTATTTATTTGCAACTGTTGGAAATTTTTTTGCGCTGATTGCATTACAGAATTTTAGATCTAGAGAAATAGTCCTATCTCAGCAATCATAAAACTGTTGTGTTCTGAACAGCATCCATTGTAGATTCGACGTCCGGTCGATATCGTATTATTTTCTATAAAAATCTATAAATTTTGAACGGTAAACTTTATTAAGATATAATGATTAATAGAAATATGAGAAATAATCTAATGAGATTACATTTATTCAAAGGACTATTCTATTGAAAAAATATCATGTCACATTGTTACATGATGAAATCATGTAATTAAAACATATAAATCACATAACGGATTGTACCAAGTCAGTACGTAATTTTTTAAATGACGCAATTTGAAAAATCATCACATGATATTAGAAATAATTTCATCCATCATGTGATTTTATAGTTATCGAATTTTAAAGAATTGAATAGTAGAAATGGAAGAAAAAAAGAACACAACATGTGACTTTTCAATTACGTGCTTTTAAAAAATCATGTACTGATTTGGAACAATCCGTTACATGATTTACATGTTTTAATTACATGATTTCATCATGCAATTGTGTGACGTGATTTTATATGATATTTCTTTATTTGCGGTGACAATTTTGCCTTCGTTAATTGCTGGTTGGGCGGGTCTAGCGGTAAACAATCGCTTACCAATGAACATTTTGATCATTCCATCCTTGTTCATTCCATTTTTCAAGAATCGTTGATGCGTCCATTGACATGCTTATTTCTTGTTTCAGCTGCCTGTTTATTCAATTATCTTGTGGATAACTAAATCAAAACTATAAAGAGCAATAAATAAATTCTGTGAAATAAGAAATAAGTATATGCTAACGGCTAGTTACAATAACGGTTAATTAGTTAGACTATAGAATAGTATTCTTCACTATTGCTCACATGAACTGTAACCGTTTTGTTTATTAACACGCTCGATAATGAATTTGAGGGACAAGTGATACGAATAGAGAGAACATAGATTCAATAATTATAATCACCCTCCTTCCCTCCCCCCACATTAAAGCTCCTTGGTTTATAGATACATTTTAAATTCTATAGGTAGACACTGATCATTAGATATCATTCTCTATTTATTTGCAAAATATCTTTCCATACGTGAAATTATTTTTTACATCCAACAAATAAGGAAGATATTAATCCAAGTTATGTGAGGATTGAAAGATTACATAACATATATTTACAAAGAATTTTATCAAGACCGTAAAATACAATTATGAAGACTTTCTTGAGTAACAAATAAATATGTGTTCTTAAACATGTTTAGTCCCGAAATAATCGTGAAAGAATAGACCTTGCAAATGTTTTTACAAATACTTTATTAAACATTGCAAAGTGTGGTACATAGTATCACAACGTTGTTATACTCATTGCGTGTATGCGTTACGATTACACATTATACATCAGATTCACGAACACGGAATATTTATACGGAGGAGCACGTTCATCTTACGATTCCGCTTACCATAGCGCAGATCGTTACAATTTATCTCGGAACAATTTCTTCGCAAACACCATACTTATTTCGAAGAATTAATTCGCGAATCGATACATGTTTGATACATACAATGCTATTTGAACATTGTTCTAAGGATTTATTCTCCTAATATCTATACTCTACGTTCGCGAACAATTTTATTAAATCTTCACAGCCAACGACTAAATTAAAAGTTCTCTCATATCCTCACACCGTATTCGCATTCTTATTTAAAAATTATAACTGAAGTTACGTTTCTTTTCGGGAGTAGCGTAGATCTAACTTTACTCTACTGGAGAATTCGCAACAGTATCGTAACAATATCAGGAAGCTGATAAATATACCCTTTGCTCGAAAGTACAAATTAAAAATTGATAAATCCTCTTGAACCCGTCTTATACATTATCGCGTTGTAATGTTGCATATCATTAAGAATACGTGTAATTAAAGCTCGCGGTCGCGCGCTCTCTGCTGCTACTATATTAAAAAATCAATCACATAGATATTGTAACACATAACTTTTATTCATTATATATATATAACAATTCAAAATTACGAAAATGATTAAAAATGAAAAATCGTATGAATCTGAAACGGAGACAACAGTTTTTGGTGATGTAAGAATTCATACGATTTCTTGCATTTGGTATGATAATTTGATACGATTGCAGCAAGGCAACAGGAGTCTTTAAAGTGTTACAATATAAACAGTAAAACGGAGTTCCCGGCACTCCGCGTAAATAGTTGCTAGGTTTTGTACATAACGGCAAAATCAATTCGCCGATTGTTGTAAATATCTAAATTCAATAATTTCGTAAGACGAAAAAATCCGATTATGTAACGTGACTTTATCCGTCGTCAAATCAATGCGGAATACCTTCAAATAGAATAGATTCGCGTAACGCGCGATAGAAATCAATCTACATAGTTTGTCCTGGATGCCAAATCGATGTACAAATCTTACTGCGTATCTCTGACTAATTCTGAACTGATTTAGTTCCATCCCTACGTATATCGATTAGATACAGGTCGATTCTTGCGCTATATCATTATTTCATCGATTACATATATTAATTATAATTTTCATATTTCGTAGTTACTGTATGCGAGTCGCGCATAATCTGTAACAAGTTAGTATCTCTCACTCAATTAATCTAAACTTTTAACAAATTCTTAATGGTGACGCTTAACGGTAAAAGAGAATACATTATTTACATACTAGATATTATATTATATAAGAAAAACAAAGATATTCATTGATTTTTTTATGTAATTGCACAATTGGCAAGCAAATGATGCATTCTCTATTAAGTCACTTTCAAGAATTCGGCAGATATCTTGAATAATTATATATCAATAATCAATTATATAATGTTATACTCGTACATATAATATTACATAATAATATAATATATATAATACATATATAAATATATAATATAATTATTATTGTTATATAATTATTCGATGTATGTATTATATAAGATATTAACGTGTAATGGATCACGCGACTCATTCTGTACACATTATGACTTTCATCACACATTCAGAGTACTATAATTAAAGCTCGCGAAGAAATATTCAACATATGGCATGATTTCTTAAAATTAAGATTTAAAGAAACCAATAAACGTATATATATATACATATATATATATATATCTATATTAGAAATACTTTCTAAAATGTTCTTTGTTTTTCCATTCTATTCTATTAAAAATTGCACAGGAAGCACGACTGGTTCCTCAAAAGTCAACAGCAATTTCTATTATGATCCTTAGAGCTCCTGTCGCGAGCTTTTGCCATCGATTGCAGTATACAATTGCTTAGAAAGACTTCTTCATCAAAATCGGCAGCACACTATATCAATTAATTCTTTGCAATTAATACGGTTCTTGGTGCCCTTGTCGTTTTAGGTGAAGAACTTGTTAAATAATTGAAACTTGCAATATATTAAAATTTACAATAAATATATACAATCTAAACTCATCGTGCGGCTGATTTTGAACTGATAACCGGACAGGAATTGTACGAAAGTGATAGAGCGAGGTGAAACGAAACGGTCAATCGGTTATAAAGAAAGATTTTATAAGTGTCTGCCGACCAGACCGGGCAGGGCGACTCGTGTGTGCAGCGGTAGTGGTCCCGGACTAACTTCTCCCATCATCATCACGGTCCCTAGCTGTCCCACAAAGTATTAAACACACATCAAGAATCGACTCCAGAACCATATCTTTTCTCACATGTAAGCCGTTTGACATTAATCGATTAATCGTTTACATTCAATCTGGCGCATCAGACAACTTTTACGTATATTGCGTACACGAGCTAAGATTGTAATGTTATTTACAGAACGGACTGGCTGATTGTGTCATCGAGATAGGCCTAGAATTTACTTCGAACCCGGCTTCAAAGTGAATCTAACTCACGAGGCCAGAAAAAATAAAAACTTGTCTAACTCTCTATTTACAAAAAAATTACAAGGTGCTAATTTATCAGCAGAAAGCACATCGTTTCAATTTTGTCGATTTCCTACTTGTATATATACGTATGTAATTTATTCTTTATAAGAATAATCTGCTGGTAAGTAACACTGCGTATTTTAAAAAAAGAAAAAAAATGACAACAATCGACTAAGCAACGATCATGATTTTGTTGCCTAAAGTATCGCCTGGAAATTACATTGCGTCTGCAACATTGACTTCATTATCAAATTATAAGTAACAGTTACATTAATATAAAAGTAAATGTACGAGCCCGTAATATCACTGCCAGAACTATCTTAGCGAGACTTAAAGGAATTAAATCTGATAAAAACTCCTTAACGTTAATTTTTTTTAAATTAACAATCAGGAAATATATCTTACATACATAAGTTAACGCTTAACAACTCAATATTTAAACATAGATACATTGACAGATCACCGGCAACAATTATATAAAACATATAATGTTGGGACCTTAAAATAAATCTTAAAACGCCAAAAATATATCTTAAAAATATCATATTCACAACTGCGATCTACATGCAGAGCTCCTGACACTCGTCTGTGAATAAATAACATAAAAATATACAATTGAAAGGAGAAAACAACGTAAATTAAGTAAGATAGGTACATGTGAAGTAGTATATTGCGGCATGCAAGTATTAAACGGATAAGTATGCCAGCAGCGCGATTGCGAGGTGATTAATGCTAGAGATCCTTTAACATTAAAAATTGATTGCATGCAAAAAAAAAACGCTTGAGGATCACACAGTCGGTAAAATAAGTATTCGCAATCTTATTTTCTCGAATAAAATTTTACAAAGAATTAAAATTAATGTTGCAATATTATGAAAACGATCTGTTCTGTCAGAAATATTACATTTTCATGTAAAGTTATCTCAAAAAAGATGTACGAATACTCTTTTTCCCCACTTTGTATCAGCTTATAAATGAACTTATAAAAATGAATATATAACTTTTTACAGTAAGGATTAAAAGATCACAGCAGCAATAGAGCCTCAATGCCTTTTCCGTCTTTACAGTTGCAATCATCAATTCTCGCGCGATTAGAATTAATGAACACTGAAAATTATGTTTAATGCTCGATCGTTTGAGCCTCGCAAAGAATTTGGCAAACATTTCAGTAGTCAGAAAAGAAAGAATCCGGGAGTGCTCGCACATGGTACTCGCGCGTTAAAACTCTGTTGAGATTAGAAAAGCATTGTTTCTTATTCAGTTCAATAAACACTATGTTCTCTCCAGGTCCCGAATTTTCTTCTCTAACATTCTCTATGTACAAATAGAAGTATATTATACTTCAAAATATGTATTATATATTATAATTAAAAAAAAACCGACAAATCGGCATATATCATCTTCGTTCTCATTAAAACTATACGTACATATTAATACTTTCGAAAAATCACCGCGTGTTATGACCTATTCGCAATTATTCAAAGAGGAGAATCTGTCTTTTGCCGTATAGGTCTTAGGTACACATCGTTCGTCGAGCGTTTTCCCGGCTACAACGTTCGTAACGGAATAAATCCGTTCATTCCGATGAGTCTGAGGTCTTCGTCATCGGAATTGGAATCATCACCGTCACCGTTTCTCTCTCTCTAGAAAAACCGATGAAAAAAAAAGCGGTGAAACGTGCGCTCCACAAATGTACGTGACTGTGATTTTTTTTTCCCTCTAAGGAGAAGAAGGGAAAGACACACTAGCAAAAAAAAGGTCAGAGGAGCTTGTCATCTCTACGTACATTAAACATAATTTTCCGCGCGCGCGAATCGAGTTTATAAATAAGAAATTTATTCCATCGTTATGCAATGAATACGCTATTGCCTATTAATTAATTCTTATTATGTGTCTATCATAAGCAATCGTTGACTAGAATAGTTATTTGCTGCACAGTTATAAATCACTTCAACAGAAAAGAATACGCAGTTACGAGGAGTCATTCGCACGCAACGGCGATTGACTCGTTAACATTTCATTATCTGTCACGTTACGATGTTATAAGATTGGGGCAGAGCAGAAAAAGGTCGGTTTGCATTAACAAATAGCATACGTACATTCCTCTTATTCTTAGGCAAGCAGATTTGTTAAAAATTCACGATGTATTTATAGTTATCATTGCCATTTCCAAAATTGAGACATTGATTGTAATAACAGCATAAAACTTGAGATTCCACTATTTAATTGGTGATAGTCATCATTAGAGCTGTGTAATTATATAAAAGTATTTATTTGTATTATTAGATCTGATTTTTTTTCCATCTTTTGAAATTAGTTACTAAAATCTTAAATTCGTTCCTCTTAAAAAAGGTACCATTTCGAGTTATGCTGCTGTCACATCCGAATCCTCAATTACCACTTGTTGTTTCACTCGAAGTTTTGAACTCGGAAATTGAAAACAAAACATTATATCGTCCAGATAAAATTAGTCTTACGTGCAATAGACATTCAAGCTTGTATTTTATATAAAAGAACGAAAGCAAGAAGAGGCGATTATTAAAGTCGAATGTAAAGTGAACGTTCGCGCGATTACATCTCTTCTACGTATTGTCTGTATTACATATACAGTATAGAGAACATGCGTATAGAAATATACAGTGTGTACACACACTAGCCGCAGGCTATTATTGTTTACACTCACAGTCAAAGTAAAGAATTAAAAAAAGAAATGAGATATGAGATTCATTTTGTACGATGTATCAATCGTCTTCGTAGAAAACAAAGAACGTGAAACTTTTAGCGGAATTGTATACGACTATGAATGAATGCGAATGTAAAGCAAATTACATAGGAATTAATTAAGTAAATTGTAACTCCGCGTTTAACGCGAAATATATATACACGACTCTTCCATTCTCCCGCTTTTCCTTTTTTCGGCCTAAAAAGTTCAGATACACAAAAGGTGGTGGTGTTAGGATTGTTGTTAGTTCTACCTTCTGTGTAAATTGAGAATTACATAGGGCTCGTCCGGATTAGTGCCGACGTCTGTGGTGCTGTTGTTAGGCTGATAGCACGGATTAACAGTATAATTGAGATTAGGCTGATGGAAACTCACCGGCTGAACGCTGGTCCTGCGTCGTTCCATCTCGCGATCTTCCAAGCAGAAATCCGAATCTGAATCGACCTTCCTCGCAACTTCGTCCTATGTTGTAATATATAATAATTATATTATAGATGTGATAAAATTATTTTCATTTATTCCATAATCTAATGTTAATTATGTTGTAACAATATAATACAGACATCTAAGATGATATACAGTTATAGTTGGCTTTAAAATGAAGTTTTCAACACTTGGACGATACAGTACCTGCGTCATTTGTTGCGTGGTTGTGAGAATTCTTGCTAGCGGACTACAACAGACCGGCAACGTTTCTAATAACGTAGGCCTGGAATGCGTTAACAAGGGCTTCATGTATTTGGTATCAAAATCGCCCCAAATTCTCGCGAGCAACGCCTTTTCATTAGGTTTCGTGCCACCGATACCACTGCTACTACCGCCGCCTGGTAACGATCCGTCCTGCATAGAATTATACTGTAAAATGTGAACAATGCATCAGTTATCCATCCTGTATGATTCTGCGAGTTTTCCTTTAATCTTTAAACAAAAGTACACCACTCCCATTTATTATTTATAAACATATATTTATTAATACACGTTAAAATAAAATCGAAATAGGTATACATATTTTTAATTTGTTTTTTAAGCATAAAAGTACATAATAATAAGGATATCGTTAGTACATTAATATACTAATGACATCCTTTTTAGATTTTCAAAGTTACCTTAATTTATTATTAGTTATGAAGAAATACATGCTTTTTTATTAATTATGATTTTGGTGTTCCATATTAAACATGTCTGTGTAGGTATTGTTAATGAATGTAAGTATTTCAGTGTTCTCCAGCTACTCTCCAACATACAGAATGGATAACAAAAACCATACTTGAAAAAAATAACCAGAGACACGTGCAGTTAACAAATTCGATCAAAAGCCTTAATAAAATAAATCTGCAATTTGCAATATGAGCAGACGGATCGTATAAATCATATAATTGATTTACATTCACATGCTACAATAATAAAAAACAAAAAACCGTTTCAATAAAGATATCAAGCGACACTTAATGCATGCAGTTACTTTTACGAGAATTGCATGGTGCTGCATGAACTGTATGTGCATATACAAGATGTTAAAAAAAACTATTCAGTATTTATATGATGAATAAACAAGGAAATTAAATCAAAACATTCAGAACAGTTTGTAAACACTAAAGTAAACCTCCACATCGCATTCGACACGTAGAAGTCAATAAGTCAGTTATGATATTAACAAACAAAATTATTTATATTTCAGAAACGATAGAATTTTCGACTTATGTTCATTAATGTTTTTTTTCAGTATGATTTATACTATTTACCATATAACTTCTGAATGGTTTCTTTTTAACATCCTGTATAAAAGACAATATTGGAGAAAATATGTCGCGCTATAATTTATGCAATTCCAGTGACATTTCTGGTTAGTACTAGCAGAGATCTATACTCTATAATTATTTTTTAATAGAGTTTCGGCAATTTTTCAATTTTGGTTTTTATAAAAAAATGCGGAATTCTTCTTTATTTTTGTAAGGAATTATATAAAAATGTTACTGAAACTGTCATTATTTCTTTCTTTAATAAAATATAATGTTAACTTCACGGATACTCAAAAGTAGGATCTGTGAAGTTAACAAATGTTCACCTTTACAACTCGCTCCAAATGACCTTCGAATGACCTTGACCTTGACCTTGACCCTTAAGGAAGTCAAGATCACTGACCTTTTCCGTTGCTTGTTACTAATTGAAAAATTATGAGCAAAACAATTTTTATGAATGGGAAACTTTAAAACCAAAAAATATAGCTTAAAATAGATTTCCTGCTTTAAAAACAAAGATTTTCTCTTGCAAGAAATCTATTTTAGCAAAGAATTTTTGTTTTTAAAGAAGAAAATCTATTTTAATAAAGCGGGAAATAAACATAAAACATAGAACGATTTACCACGCTTTGGTACAACACAAGAACATTATTTACACTGTATAGCTAAATTTTTATTTAAAAGACAATATGATTATAATGTACGAATACCATAATTCTTCGAAATAATGGCTTCTTTATATCCGATAAATAATTCTGTATCAATTTAATTATGTAAAATATATTTTTTGAGCGGAGAATGTCTATTTTTCATAGTGGATAAGAGACCCTTTTTCAAACTTTTTTTCTTGTTCGTAACTTTTCAATGAGTAACTTCGGAAAAGTGACCTTAACTTCTTTGAAGATCAAGATCAAAGTCACTCGGAGGTCATTTGGAGCAGGCTGTGTAAAGGTGAACATTTACCAAATAAAAAAAGAGTTTCGCATTTTTATACTAAAAAATTAAAATTGAAAATATAGCGTATTAACTTCGTAAAAATCTAGCTTGCTTCCTCTCCAAAGTAAAAAAAAGATATTATTATAAAATATTTCCACTTTTAGCTACAGATCCTATTAGTACTACTTGAGTTCTATCAATATATGTAATTTGAAAACAAAATTCCAACAATTATTAATTTTAATATACGTTAAATAAGGAGTTAAAAAAAACATTCAGCATTTATACGGTAGGTACACACCATATGATTGAGTTTTTAACTTAAGTTCACTACTTTTTTATTCAGTATGGTATGCACTGTTTATTATATAAATGCTGAATGTTTTATTAAATTAATATATTTATATTAATATTTGTGTGTAAAATAAATCGAACTGTGAGAATAGGTGAGTCATCGAAATACACATAAAAAAATAAGTCAAATCGTCTAAACTTTCAATTTGTCAAACAGGAAAATAGTGCGTCAAGTCAATCTTTAATTGTAATAACGTACCGGCGGACTTCTTCCCCTACGTATGTCCAGATCACCGTAGCCACCCTCGCCGCCAGACTATTAACATTGATAAATTAAATTGTCTTGTAAATCGTAACATTCGCGCGCGCGTTTTTTTAACCGCGAATATTTATAATTCACTGTCGAATATTACAAAGTAATATAACAAACATGCATGCAAGTTCGCAGGATGCGAGGATTAGATATCGGTACAATTTCGGTAAAGCAATTTTGTACAAATGTTATTCGTGATTCAAAAAAATCACTAAACATTTTGTGTTTTTAGAACTTAAAGTAGATAGGTATATGTATACTTTTAACTATTAACTATGTTTTCATACAACTATGTAGCTACACTGAAAAAAAATATAGTCAATTTTAATAAATATTTAGTTAAATACTATCAACTAAATCTTTATTAAATATAAAGATATACGAGTATTTATTTGATACAAATAATGTTAATTTGATTTAACAATCATTTTTTTTACTGAACAAATATTTATTTACTGTAAGTAAATGTTTAGTTGGCAATATTGAACTAAATATTAAAATTGACTATATTTTTTTCTCAGTGTATAACATCGAAAAATTGAACTCACATTGTACCGATGTCAATACAATCGCTATATAGCATTCACTGTTAGCTTTCTTAATCTATGATACTTTAATACTACTTTTTATACTAAAAGAAAAGATAACTAGCAGGAACATGACAAAACACAATTTTCGAAGCTTCAATTTTATAATTAACAAGAAGACTCAGCTGATCAGTATGAATTCTGACAGTGTCCAACAAATTGTACACCTGGGTAAAAGCAACATCATAAAAAAAGATTATATAAAACAATAAAACTTACATGCACAAATGTCTACGCTTTCATGTCTTTTTAAAGCAAATACTCCTATACTCGTTTTTTAATATAGCGTACATCGTTATATTTATTCTATATTATTATTGTCGAAGTTATAAATAATTAATCATCTTACAAAGTATAAGAACATTGCTTTACACATGCACAATGCTATATTCAGATAATCGTAAATCTTGCTATCAATCGTACTTAATCATGTATAATGTCGAAGAACAAACACAAAAATATATTAATATACACGTGTATATATGCAAACAGTCTACATAATGTCTCTATCTTGCATTACTAATTCTTCTAGATAACACGAGATAGAGAACACGAATGTCAAATAAAAATTATGTCATACTTACACTACGCGTTCCATTATGAGAAAGTCCTTCTATTTCTTCATCTACTCCGACTCTACAAAAGACAAAAAAAAAACGGTTTAAGTGATACGAAATAAATAAAAAGCAAAATCAATTGTACTAATAACAAATTAAATAGAAATAAGAAATAATAAATTATTAATGTCAAAAAAAATTTATTTGTTTTCACGAATAAAATTCTTAATAAAAGCTAGAAAAAAAAACAAATAAATATTTAGTTACATTTAGGTATTTTACTCACGGAATATTGAACCAGCTTAAAAATTGCGTTGTTGCACCTCCTTGTAGAATAACCGTCAATATAACAATCAAGCTAGTCGTGGTCAACATAGCTTGCCTGGCGTCCGACACGGTGTTCCTGATGGCGAGAGCGAAGCTCATGGCGCCACGCAACCCTGCGAAGAACAGCATGTGCTGATAGTTTAACGATATCTTCGGCTTTCGCGCCAGATTCAGTATGAAGGATAACGGATAAACATTAGCCGCGCGACCCAGTAACGCGCATAGCTGTGAAGTATGTTAAGGATAAAGTATTTTATGAATTAAATTTTAAATAAATAAATTGAATAGAATTTGCTTGATATCTACATAATGATATTCTTTCGACAGTTACGTTGTATATAGCGTTAAATTGAAACGATTCACTTAAGGAATTCTTTCATTTAGAGATTTTTTCTTTTGAAATCAATCGGAAAAAATCAAATGAGTGTCCAATGGCGCTGATACAACCTCTGTAGATACATAATGTAAGGATACAAATCCTGCGAAAATAAAGCCAGGATCGAAATGATGTTTTGGGAAGGTAAACATCGAAACGCCGATGTAACTAAATATGAAATTCTCGGCTAAGAAATTTAACAGCTCGAACAGTTGTTTTGTACGCTGGCGCGAGTCCAGACTCAGGTTGTTGTACGTGTAATGAGCCTGGCATATTCCACAGAAGAGAACAGCAACCACGCCTAAAATTTCATAATAAAATCATAATAATCTCTAGATTAATGCAAAAAATTTTTGTATTAGGTTCCATTTTTAAATAAAGACTCTAATCCTAGTTTTTGTCAAAAAAGAAATGAAAAAAAACTTCTTTCTGCATGAAAAAGCTGTAGAATCAACAGGTGACTACTTTTATTAGTAATAGACCTTCTTAAGAGAAAAAGATTTGTATTATTCTTTATTTCTAATGTCATAATATAACACATGCAAAAATATGCATTACCTGTAAGATCGGTAGCTTCGGCAATTAAAAATGTACTATATGACATTAAAACGAATAACGCCGATTCTAAGAGAGGAAAGTCTCGAACCCTGGTGAACTTGGTCAATAATGCAGTGATGCACCCCATCGTAGCACCGATAAAGAGAGACAAACTAAATATTTCAACAAAGTCTCCGAACGCCTGAAAGAACGCCACGGTTTCGAAACCACCCGATCCCGACTGGTATCGTTCTGCGTAGTTCTGTATTGATCTGAATTGAAATATTAGAATATTTTCAATATTGCATTTATATTGAATGTATATTGCTAAGTTATAGTTGCAATTTATATAATATATAATTCCATGTAACGTCCACTTTTTAGTGCAGAATCCATACAATGAGAAAAAAAGTCGCAACATGTAACATTTTCTCGGATATTTATTGACTATAAAAAAATTTGTCTATAGTGACAAAATATACATTGGTGTAAAATATATTTCATTAATTGTAAAAAAAAATAAAATAGATGATTTATTTGTAAGAAATAAAATTTTATTTCGGCTGTTTAAATAAACTTTTATTTCAGTGAAGTAAATATTTCACGAATAAATTTTTAAGTGTCTTTTTTTTTTTTTTTTCTCAGTGTAACGCAACTTCTTTGGCTAAAGAATCCAAAAATCAGAGAAAATAAAGTAGGATTAATTCTGCAAAATTTCTACTAACCCACTAAGTACAATGGCGACCGCATCGTTCAATACACTCTCGCCGAATACCAAAGCATATAGATTAACGTCTACATGTAGGTCGTTGAAGATAGATATTATTGTCAGAGGATCCGTAGGCGATATTAGAGCGCCAAAGTATAGGGTATCCAGAAACGTGAACGACGTGGAGAGATGTGGTATCAATTGTACAAAGGCATACATCAGAGCTCTATACAGATAATACGATATCGACTCATTAAAATAAAATTTACAAGTCGTTAAAGAAAAACATAAACTATTTTTAGTTATAAATGGCGAGACAGAAGTAGATAAGCTCGGTCAAAGTACGAGCTATGCAAAGATCCACAATATTTTCTATAAACATATTTTGTTTGTTACTAAGAGTCTGATAACAGCCGTAAACATGCAATAATTAAAAAATAATTAAGCATAAATATTTGAAAATGGCATCTTCTTAAAAATAAAAGAAAATAAAAGAAAAAGAATATGTATCGATAACAATACAAAATCTATAACAGACATGTGACATATAAATTGATACTTTTTTTTTAAGATTTCCACAATAAAATAACATTAAAGGAGAAGCTTACCCAATAACAAAAGCTGATATAGAGGTTCCTATCAAAGCATACATGAGAATTGCACCTAAATTTCTGAAGAAGTATCTCTGGAAGAATTCGATTATCAAAGAGTTATAAATAAAAATCATATGGTGTATATCCCATTATTATGGACTTTCCAATAGAAAAATAAGCACATCAATATACTTACACGCTTCAAACTATATCCAGCATGGAAAATAATGGGAGGCAATATGATATTGAAAAATATTTCAGGATCAAAAGTTGCCTGCAACAACCATTACATCCATTAAATAAATTGTTTTAAAAGCAAAATGACTTCAAGTTTAATGTAAAAATTATCTAGATTTACTTAAAAATCAATAAACAATCCAATTAGCTAAGTCTATAGAAAATAAATTTTATCAGAGGCTTGCTTCAAATTTTATCGACAAAAAGGCATCAAATTTGGCATAAAATTCTGTTGTATTCAATGTCAGCAAATTGATGGCAGATATACAACAAAAACTGTTGACATAACATGAGAACAATTTGATGAAACTGCAAAGCTTGATGATAAGCTCATAGCGAGAATCGACCAAAAACAAAACCACCTAAAGATTTGCTAGCTTTTGCTGCCAATTTACTGTTTGGTATATCAGTTTTGCTAATAAAACATAAACTTAGTGTTGGCACTGGATTTGTTATCAATTCTGAGTAAGTTTGATGTCAAGATAACAACAATTAGCTATCAATTTGTTTACTGAAAATTTTCTTTAGATAAATGATGTATTGTAACTTATCATCTCACGAAAGACTCAGTCACCTTCAAATCGATTTCATTATCTTCCTTGTAAATTTCGCCACGAAACGAATACGCAAATGTTTTGTTCTTCACGACACCGCCACCCTTGTCTTCCGGGAAACGTAACCATAGCGTGTCCGGTGGTACAGACTGATTATATTTGCTCGAATTATCTGGAACCACCGGCATATGCAGAATAGTGCTGCTCGTTGTGAAACCATAACGTATTATCGCTCCTATGATTAAGCCTATAACAAGCAATTTTATTCTAAATAAATACAATTATTTTGCAGTTTTATCCCAAATAAACAGAATTATCTAACATGTTATCAGCAGTGACAATTAAAATTATATTTAAGAATGTGTTTTAACGACGTACTTAATTTCATTTCAGATTCCAAAATAAGAATAATATGAGCTATGAAATAATTCACAAATCTTTATTATAAAAGTCTTGAAAAATAAGAAAGTTTGAATTTTATTCATTGTT